CTGTTTATTTGACTATTATCTTCTCCACGTGTATCTATTGTTTAAGTCGTGTCTCTCGAGGAGACGCGGCGTTCTCAGTGTAACGTGGCCAAACCCTGTTCATCGACGGCTCTGGACTGCAGTGATCTAGTTAGGTGGGTGGGTTGTGGTTGGGGGGTTGTGGGGGGGCACAGAACAGTAAGCAGCTCTTTGCGCTGATAGTACTTTGTGGCTCTGCTTCGCTAACTGCGTGCAGATGCTTCGTTGATTAATGGCAAACGCTGCATTTACATCCTTGTTTCAGGCACTCGACAATTGTTAAGGTGACAAGGAGCCCAATGCCGGCTACACTCGGTAACCCATCCAACGGGGTTTCCTTTTGGTTTGATTGTTACAAATCCGATTGAGAAACGACTGATTGATCTACTTATTGATTGTTTGGTTGATTGATATAAGGTTGGTGGGGGGGGGGAGGCAGATTGCACAGGGAAAGCGACAGAAGGCACAGAGTTTCTACGATGATTTTTCTCCAAAGATTCAGGCTTAAAAAAAAATTTAAAAAAACGTAACTCAGAATTCGGAAGAATTTGAAAGCAGCTGACGAAAGTCAGATGAAATATCTCAACAACGGCTGTGATGTGAGCAAAGGGATTTGCTTATAGTAGTATGTGTGTCAGTATGTCTGTGTGTTTGTGTCTCTGTGTGACAATCTGAATGAGCACCAGGGTTGGGCTCAATCTATTTGCTATAAAAAATAAAATTGGAGAAGCTTGAAATCTGTCTTTTTCGTCCGTGAAGATAAATTTGAGAGTAAGGGCTTTAGTTTATATTTTGAGTCGACGTGATGAGAATTGAACCCAACCCTGAATGATCTATTATACACACACGAGTGCTTACGTTCTTATGACTAGCTAGTTGTGCTTTTCAAGGCTGAATACATGTTATCCCAGGTCGCTCTTTGTACATATTCAGACCAGCTCTGGTGTGAAATTGTCTTTCCACTGAACATATTCAAGAAAACAGGGACTCGTTGGATGCATCTCAGGCCATGAGGACCGAGAGCGAAGCAGACCCTGAAACCAGCTTGAATAATAATCATAATAATCATAATAATGCCCCGAAGTGTTTGTTCCCAAGTCTGGCAGAAATGGGTACTTCAACGCTCAGAAACAAAATGAATCTGAAATACAAAACAAAAGAAGACTATGGGTAATGTTTCTTTCCTATTTGCTGAATGTATCGCATCTTGTGGAAAGCTAGCGAAGAAACTACGGTCCGGTGGAGAAGCTTTACTGTCCGACAGGCAAACCGCTACATTCAAATCCCCCCAACCCCTCTCCCAAAAACAAATCAGGTGAGAGCTGAAGAGATTTTCCTCGGGTAAATGTGACAGGGATTTGGTTGAACGACGCCATCCAGCCATGTTTTCTGGACTGTTTATTGGGCACAGATGGAGAAACAGTTAGTCAAGTTAGGACCACTGTGTCTCAGTTCTTTATGAGGCCAGCGCCCTCCTTCTCAGCAGGTCCTCGTTCCCAGAATGCAACTGCGGCAAGCAGAGGTTGCGTGCGCCAGAGCGTGTGTCTGGATCACTCTGCTCGCCGTCGGAGAAGTACCCGTCGGTCTCGGACGTGTCCTTTCCTGTGAGCGGCAGGCCCACGGGCTGCAGCCCCTGGACGCGCGCACCGACGCCCCTGCCTCTGCCTCTGGATTTGACCTGGCGGGTCAGACGGAGCCGCGGCACCCTGCCGCGAATGAATGCCCCCGTGTCGGGCAACGTGGCCCCGGGGCTGGAGGCCGGACGCGGAGATGAGCTTGCAGTGAAACCGAACGTGTCGTTGTTCCCCGCGTAGACGCTGTCCCACGGGCCGCGGTCCTCCGAGATGTGACAGGAATCCATTTTGGAGATGGGCGGCTGCGGCGGCGGGTCCCTGTCTAGGTCAGAGCTCCTTGTCTGGTGGTGATGAAGGTAGTGGTGGTGCAAGGCCTTTGAGGAGCCCCTGGACCTTTCCCCTTTCCGGACCACGTGGCCGGGCTTTTCCTCCACCACGCTTTCCCACTGCTTTGCAGTGGAGGGGCTGCCGGAGGCGGAGGGGCAGCCGGAGGCGGAGGCGGAGGTGGCGGCGGAGGCCGCAGACAGGGGCGTCTGGGGCAAGGCGGGGGCGGTGGGTTGCGGGTGTCCGCGAGCGCGCAGCTTGTTGCTCCCTCGCGGTTTGCGGCCCAGCTGAGGCGTTTTCCAAGCGGACTGCATGGACTTCTCCATCCTTAGGTTCAGCAGACTTTCCTCGCCTTGCAGGAGCTGGATGACAGAAGAGAAGAAGAGAGGAGGTGAGGAAAGGAATTGGAATGAGAGTAAAAGCCGATGAAGGAATGAGAAGAAAAGCCGATGAGAGTAAATCAGGAGAGAAAGAAAAAAAAATTGCTGAATCAGTTCATGTCTCAAGGGGCAATAAATACACGTTTTACTCTCACTGTATATGATGAATCTGAACTCTCGCTCGTTGATCAAATACGACAGTTTATTTGCCTGTTTCTTGGGTGTCTGGTTTGGAAACCTCCCATACTCGACCATAATGTTTTAGAACAAAAACTCCCCACCCACCCACCACCACCACCCACATTTCCAACCGCTCAACAGTGGAGGACGTGAGTAACTGATCTCACAAGACATTTTGTTGTCAAGCAAAAAAATCAAGTGACAAAGCTGACATAGTCTAACATTTTACATTGAGATGTTTAATCTCTTCCTCTTCAGTATTGCAAAAGAAAGGAGTTTATTATTAATGTCAACAACAGGCCGCTGCAATGACTGTTTGTTTGATAAAAGTCATTACTTCAACTTCAGAAATCTGTTTATTTTTTTGCAGATCTTTCTTTTTGTTGATATCAGGTTTTCATATTCACATCTCGTTCTCTTTTGTTTAAAAAAACAACACAGTGTTCCTGTTTTGTTTCTTGTCCCTGAACACATCCCCAAACAATGGAGTTATATCACGCATTCTGGTCGGAGCCCCCTGCCAATCAATACACAAACAGAGCACATTCCTGAGGAGAACAGCAGGTCAGCCACAGTGCAGCTCGGCTCTGACCATCGAACTGATCAACCCACAGTGTGAAGTGAGCAAAAGCCCACACAACTCAAAACTCCATTTATAGAAAGATCCAATTCAAAAGGCTGGAAATTGGAAAATTTGCACGGAGCTTTCTGCTCAACTGCCGGCATTAAGCGAAATGACGCATTTTGCATAATCCAGTGAATCCTCGCCGGTAAATGTGTGGCAAGCTTTGGGCATCAGTAACAGGGGAGGAGGAGCCAATGAACATTAATCATTTACACATACCACCCACATTGCAATGATACAAAGCCGGTTAAAAAAAATGATCGCTCCATCTCCAGAAATCTTCACACACTGAGGTTGAACCTGAATTACAATATGCTGAAAGGTTCTGATGGATTATTTCCCCAATAACACCAAAAATAAACCCGTTGTAATAACGTACTTCATTAAAAAACTAACTTCTTTTCTTCAGAGTTACTGTAGTGAAAACACATGCTGTAAAATACATGTAAAACATGCTGCTTTTAAAACCACAATGCAAATGGATTAAGTCAAGTTATGCCAAGGAAATAATAATTAAACAGCCCCAGATCACTAATTGTCCTCAAAGGGCTTGTTAAATTAGAGCAGCAAGTGGGAGCAACTGAAGAACTGCAGGCGGTCCCTGTGGACAAAAGCGGTAGTGTTTCCGGGAACCAGACTCCCTTTAGAAAAACTCTAATTTTACTGCAGCATGGTCTGACAGTCTGCCCCGTGCGGTCCTGGTTCTGGTTCTCCCGTTGCCTCCCTTTCCTCCAGCGGGCTCAGCGATACGGCCTGGGTCTCCAGCAGCGTGGTGTCGGTGTCGGCTCCCAGCGGAGAGCAGCGAGGAGATGCTGATGCTGGGAGCAGAGCTCTCCTCCTCCCACTGAAGCTCCACCTACAGGTCAAAGGCTGCAGCAGAGCCGGATCTGCGTCTGTCCTCGGTAGACTGGTCACTGCCGGAGGCCCCGCTTGAGTCTGAGTTTCTGGTGGACCTCCATCGACCTTATCCATCCATTATCATTAGTTTGCTTATATAAGTTATATCGAGGATTAAGTTTTAAATTGAGACTGTTTCATAACCAGTTAAAAGTTCCTTGTAGTAACTTTAAATACCTAAAACTGAAACACTACTGTGCTGGCTGTTGACATAGACCACAGTGTCACAGTAATTATCATTGAAACACTTACTTCTGTGGACAGTTTGCCAATGAGCTTTAATGTCAGCCGGATCAATGAGCCTTGATTGAAAAGCAGGAGAGCTCACTCGCGTCTACTTTCATCCTCTCACAGGAAAACTGCACATTTCAACAACTAGACTTTTGCTGGCTGCCAATGGAAACGTCAAACTAATATTTATGTCCTCACAGAAATGCCATTTCTTTGGTAGAAACTGATGTTTGGGGGAGAGCTCCAGCCATAAATGCAAGACGGACTTTAAATTACATTTTAGATATGTATTATCTAGTTATTTGAGATATTGTCCGGGGGGAATAACTGATTTTACAGCAAGTTGACAGCATATCTGACCCGTCTTCAGCCTATTTTCTCCTCACAAAAGTTTAACCTCGCGAATATATAATGCAACACTCTCAGCTCTTTGTCCAGGTTACAAGACAGGCAGCCAGTAAGGAAACTAAATCATTCAACTGATCGGTTTCAATATGCACCAACAATGGTTTATAAGAGTGGCATTTACCAAAGTTACAGGACGCACAACTGAAGTAATCCTGGTGGACAAGTTGTATTTCAGAGAACAGCTCAGGCGGTATCGACAGATGAATCGTTTGGGGGTTTTTGCTGCTCGACCTCTACATATCTGTATTACTTCTTTGTACACAACAGGCGGTATGAGCTGTTACAATGCATTATGAGTTATTAAGTTTGTTTGAAACAAAAGACGACCCACCTACACAGTTGTTCTGCTTTTGTGAACATCCATTTAGTCAAGTCCTCTCCCTCGACTAAGACACATCTTTCGAGTAAGAACTTTATGTAACTCTGGATGTCCGTCTCAATCACGTCTGTAGGAGGAACAGTTCCTTATTGGGCCCCTGGCACCAGTTCTATCCACCAGTAAGCTGGACAGGGACTGAGATCAAAAGGTGATGGACTGCTTGACGCCGCTGCTGATTTCAACTCTTTGAGTTTTGCCATGTGTGCTGCCGTTCACTGCCAAGAGCCAACTGCAGCTCTGCCTCATGTAATCCTCCTCCTTTAACCTCGTTTGATGAGTGAAGTGGCCTTGAAATTATGTTCAGCTTGCAGATCCTTTTCCTATTTTATCCTATTTTAGTAGTATTGAATGAGAGAAATTCTACATCTGAAGGCCTACCTGGTCGGAGAGCAGGCTGCCGCTCTTGTCCCGATGCTGGGCGCCCAGAGCCCACTGGCTCAGCATGTCGTCAGCAGTGATCTGAACCGTCTGGGCGAGCCAGCTGTCGAACAAAGAGTTGTCCAGCGGGAAAGACTTTGACAAACCTGAGGGGAAGGGGGGAAAGGAACATGAGCAGGGAGAAAAGGGAGGATGCACGGAGGGAGAGATGGATGATATCAGGACAGAGGGAGCGAGAGGGAGACAGTTAGCCGGGGTGGCGAAGGAGGGGGGAGAAAAGTGATGGGACATAATTGGTAGGGAGGAAGGGAAGAAAGAGGGAGAGAAGGGGGAGAAAGACAAAGTAGACAAGGTGAAGGGTACTGCACACTTAAAAAAATAAATAAATAAATAAAAAAAAAAAGACAGAAAATGTCGAGTTGAAGGCTGCCAGAGTAAAAAGCATGAAAAGAGCAACTGCAATACAAAACCTTAAATTCCACCATTCTGTAAAACACAGTTAAATGTTACACTTCCATTCAAATAGTGAAGAGCGGCCTTGGAATACTTTTCCTTAGCTGGCAATGAAAGAAGTTGTTTGATCCACAAGAACACATGAACAAAAGATAAAGACTCAAGTTGTATGACTCTTCCATAGTTTAACATTCAAAGCACGGATTAAAGACGACACGTCTGATCTCACAGACAGTAAGGACGGCGCGATGCAAACAAAGTTCTATGTGATCGCAGAACCTCGGTAGCCAAGTGGTTACAGCGCACGTCATTAAACCAAAATGTCCTGGGTTTGATTCCAGCCGTTTGGATATTTGTTGTATGTCATACCCCCTCCCTCTCTCTCTCTCCTCCATTTCTACAGTCCTCTGTCAAAGGAATCAACTAAAAAGATATCTCAGCGTATTCTAGAGGTGCCATGAAGCATGAAGGAAGTTGAGTTGGCGTAACACAACATTTGAAGTAAACTTCTGGTTAGATTATATTAATCATACTAACATCTCAAAATGAATATAATCAAAACTGCAATGTAACATCTTTAAATTGACGTTAATCTCTCACAAAGCACCTCTAGTGTTATTCCAGCTTTGGCCTCATCACAATTCTAAATAGGAACAGAGAGCCGATTGTCTGTCAGGAAGACAAACACAACAACTTGACACAGTGACATTTACAGTATGCAGCGATAAACTCCAAATCCAAACAAGACGTTGCTGTTGCTTCATCAATAATGAACATATAAACCCATTTCTCAGAAGAAATCCTGTTTCCTTTCTCCTTCCCAACACTGTTGTGTGTATAATTAGGAGATTTTCAAGACTCCTCTTCTATCATTGTGGGCTGTGGAAATGCTGCCAAAGCACTGCGTGTCTGTCTGTCTTCACACAAACTCGTACATTCACACAATGCGGTGTCGACCGCGAGGCTTAAGGAGAACAGAAGGGGGTTGGGATCCATTATAGCTCGTGAACTTCTTCTCTCCTGCTCCAACAGATGTGGGTGCCCACATGTTGGCTTTCATTCCTCACATCTTCAGACCCTCTAACAGAGCTGGGGCGAGGGGTGGGTTGATGGCATTTAATTTAATCAGAATCCAGTTTCAAATGCACATTTTGGAAGTTTTTCTGAAACCCTGTCAAATTAATTTAAAAAAGTTATAACATTTTGTAGGATAGATTACAAGTTTGACATTTAGCTAAATTGCCGCCTGAATGTTTTTGCACATTGCTGATGAAAAAAGAGATTAAATGGATATTTTTTACAAATTTGGACCCAAGTCTGAAGTGGAAAGAACCAACTGTAACTTTGTAACAGACACACTGACTGAGAAGAGTTTATCACGTTTTGTTCTTCTACAGATGACAAAACGCTCAAAAAGTGTTCTAGTGTGAACCCCAGTGAGATGCACATGAGACCCTGATTTGATAAGAATCTGTGCTTTTAGTTTCTTACAATGAGGTTCACAGAAAATTGGATGATACCAGCGAGACTTCCACACACATGTAAACAGTTTTGGACTTTAAAAACAGCAGTCTCTCTTATTTTTTATGAATAACTATCACCCATAACACCTTGTCAAAGCTCCGTACTATACTTGGGTGGATTTCTGGTTTTGCCGGCTCTCTCTGGTGAACGAGCTTAAACTGGTTTAATTTTATACAAACCGGCTAAATCGCCATTTTTCATTATGACAAGTTCTGGCAACTCAACGAGTAGCCAACAAAATGTGCTGACCGCTTCACGACGCTAAATTTGCAAATCCATTTATGCGGATTTCTTTTGGCTGGACGACGATGAAAAGCAGATTTTATTTGCCAAGCCTGGGAGAGAACGCAGAGTATTTTGTTTTAGAGCACGAAATAACCTGACATTTTGTAATTGGACGAAAATGTAATGAAATATTTGACCACTGCAGCTGTATCTTTGGTGTCTTATAACCCAAGAGCGTTGGGCATTTTAAAAAATCCAACCTGTATTGCATATTGCATTAGTAACAAGCAATATGACAAGAGAGCGAGAGACAGGTCGCAGTTAGTCTCAAAGAAAAGTAAAACTGCACCAATATGGCAACATTTTGGATTTGGAGCCAACAAGAGTTGAGCCAAAAAACAGATGAGGCAATTTGTAAAATAAAAACACAAAGTGTTAGTTGTCCCGCTGATTGTGCAGCTGCTTCACTTTCTGCTTCTTCTTCTTCTTATTATTATTTAGTGGTTATTTGCTGTTAGTAAACCAGCTCAGAGGTGCATTCACGGTCTCTCTCAAACTCATTATGATCCACTCGGGTGTTAAGTGCAGGTCCGGTCCGGTGTTTGGCTTCATATCAAACCAGTTTAAAATATATTACACCGGCCCAACCCTACTCCTTAAATCAAGCGTGTAGACAGAGAACAATCTGAGCTATTTCCTCTCTTTGTGTCCAAGAAAAACAGCTTTTAACAACTTCAGACCAGATCACAAACAGAACTGTGTGCTGAGGAGAAATCAAAATGATCTTTTCCTGATAATACACTCCAGAACAACAACCATTAACCGGGGAGTCTGTCTCATCCACTTTGGGGATTAACTGTCTCCTAGAAACCCATAGGACCATACAAATATAAGCAGAGATGCCGATAAAGTTGACAAGAACATTATGAAAAAAAATAAAGACAAGTGCATGCAGATTTTTCTGGTCTGAGCCTCTCTCTCCTTTTTCTCCATCTTTCCAGCCTCCCTCTAAATCTTCAGAGCCTATAATGATCTGCCAGCAGGACGGCAGGAGGTGCTGTTAGAGTGGCTTTAACACCAGCTATACT